AAAATCCATGAATCCACATGGTAGGATTTGTAAAGAATTTATTCGTAAATCAGGGTGGAAAATAAGTATTTGGTCACCTCAAACAAGGAAAATCTCTGGCTCTCACAGACCTGTAACGTCTTCTGTAAGAAGCTTTTCTGTCCCCCACTCGTTACCTGTATGAATGGCACCTGTTTGAACTCATCATCTGTATAAAAGACACCTGTCCACAGCCTCAAACAGTCAGACTCCAAACTCCGCCATGGCCAAGACCAAAGAGCTTTCGAAGGACACCAGGAAAAGTATTGTAGACCTGCACCAGACTGGGAAGAGTGAATCTAATCTCTACTTATTTACACTGCTTCTCTTAGTATTTAGTGTTTTATCCAGATGCTAAAATGCTAAAGGCATCTATTGGACACCACTACCACTTTTCATGTACAATTTTAAACAGTTTTGGTATTTTTATAACTGTAGGCATCCTGTGAAGGGTTTTAAATGTGTAATGATTGTGATCACACTTTAGTTAATGTCTGATAACCATGGCTTTTAGTTTGTGGTCAAACATCACTGTGACTAAGTACCACCTACACATTACAGCTACAGAAGCTGCTCAGCTGTGGAGAGCAACTGTTTTTGTGTTGATATTAACGCCAGAGGAGGTTTAAAATCTGCAGGTTGTGAGTCAGCAGAGCATTTTATGCACTGTGTGCCTCTGCAGTGACCCTGCTCTGTAACTTTACATGGTCTGTGCTGTGGTTCCTAAACACTTCTACTTTGCAGTAATAGCATTTACAGTTGAATATGGACTATGAAATTACATGAACTGACTTGTTGCAGTGATTGTATTTTATTACAGCGTCACGCTCAAATTCAGTGAGCTCTTTCACAGACTGCATGGCTAGGCACGTGACTTTATACACCTGTAGCAATGCGACTGAAAACACCAGAGTTCAAAGCATGAGGGGTGTTGGCCAATACTTTTGGCCTCTTCTTTTCAGTCTTCTTTTTGTCTATATAGTGTATGTTTCACTTGGACTTGAGGAAAAAGGAAAATTAGATCACTCAACTCCAAAAACTATTTTTTTCTTGTGTGAATTCTTGTGTTATTATTTCAATGCCTAAAAGGTAATGAAATTTCATATCCAAAAGGTCAAAGTTTTTCTTATGGGTGTCATAATAATGTTCAACAAAAACACTTTCTTAGACATTATTCAACACCAAACATTTGGAACAGTGAAGGACACTGTAGTCACATTTCACATCTAGTCTTCACTCTAGGGCTGGGCGATATGGCCTAAAATCCATATCGCGATGTAATTTGAAGCACGTGCGGTAACGATATATATCATGATATATTCTTTTCTTCTGTATAACGTATTTTCCACACTGTAAGGCGCACTTAAAATCCTTTAATTTTCTCAAAAATCAAGAGTGTGCCTTATGTATGAATTCTGGTTGTGCTTACTGACCTCGAACCAAATTTGGCTGCAGTAATCTGTTAAAAATGTTTTAGTACAACTTTGGTAAGTCGCACTGCTTGATGGATTGTCAGAGCATTACGGCTGCCATAGTGAGGAGCTTCGCGGAGTAATCTGGGTCCAAAACTCCGTCCTTTCAGGTCCCAAAGTCAAACGAACACTGAGAGTTAAAAACGGTCTAAATTCTTTCATCTTTAATAAAATCATCAGCGTTGCTGCTTTACCAGGTGTAACAATTAAGTTTAACATCCAGGCATCCATGAAAACAGAATTTATTAAATTTAATTAGTTACAAGTACAAATAGATTAGTTATTAATATACTGCAACAACATGGGAACAGAGCAGCTGTGAGAGAATTCAACATTAATGAATCAATGTTACGGAAGTGGAGGAAGCGCAGTTTTTGGCTTTCCCCATATTTCAAAAGTGCTTCATCTCTTTGCTGTGACTGTCGCCCGGCATAATTTGCAGATGATAATGGTTGTAGCTGCTGCGATGCTTTTGACCAAAACAGGCGCAGCTTGATGACATCATCAACATGTGCTATCGCGATAGAGCGGTATAGTCAAAATCTCTGTCGTTGGCCAAATTTATATCGTTTCTATCGTATATCAGAGCGTAACATGTCGACGTTTTGTCACGTCCCGCGGCGTTCCTGAGGAACGCGAAAGGAGACCTTCGGCGTTCTTATGGTACGCGGCGGGTTATGGCTGGAATCCAGTGCAATGACGCTCCCGCGGTAATAGACGTTCCAGCCCTGTATTCCAGCCCTAAACCTAACCTTATCCCTAGCCCTGACCATAACCTTATTCCTGACCTTAACCAGGACTTTAATGATGTTAAATAGCGTGTTTCTAAGCGATTTGAAGAAAAAGAGCGAACATGTGTAGATTCAGTCCAGACGGTTCTCATATTTCCTCTTTTTTCCGAGGTCGTCATTTAGGAACGTGGTGGGTAGCCGAAAACGTAATATGGTGACGATTTGTCACCTAGCGTAAAATGTTACGCTTTGGGAGTGAGAACGGGTTGCGTATATCGTTTATATCGCGCACCCCTACTTCACTACATATTTTTTTTGTGTCTAAACACACGGGGCTGTTGATTTCAACTTGAGTGATTGTTGAAAAAACAGTAAGGTAGTAAGCAACTCCAGTTTTCTAGTTTTCTGCCAAAGATAACAGGATCAATATCTCATTCCTTTAATTAGGAAAAAGGAGTTAAGACAGCTGTTTACCATGAG